TAAGAGAACATACAACTTTATGGGTAACAATTTCTGGTTTATTGCATTTAGCAATGTTTTCCATTTTGATAACAGTGTTGTATGATTTCTTATCACCATGCATCATTGTACTCTAGCTCCCTCACTAAAGAATACAAACCAAATAATTTATTTTAGCAAGTGTATCACATATTGTATCGTGGCATGATAACTTGCAGTGCACCGGTGTATCGTTACACCTCGAGTATGTATAAGTTATTGCATATTGCTGCCACCTAATTAGTTAAGTAGCCTAGTGGATAGTGCTTCCACTTGTTCTGCTGGAGGCCTGGGTTTGATACCCTACATGGGTATGTGAGTATGTTTCCAACAGTGGTGCAATAGTGGTCAGCTCAGTGTAGTGTAGGAAGATGAGAGCCCAAAAGCCAAAAAGCCCAGGCTGTGTGTGACTGCCATGCCCCCAGCTGTACACTGAGGCCTCAAGTTCAACATCATGGCATAGAATAAATCATGGACTTTGCAGAGCACACACCTGTGTGTTGGCTGCATCTTTGAGAAGGGTGGTAATAACATGTCATTGTTATACCTGACTAACACCAAGGACAGACATACAGAGTTCATGTTCTTGTCGATCAAGCTGTCAGAGAAGCCGTGATGAGGACACTTGTGTTATGGCTTCTGGTTTCTACAAGAACAGTTTATTAGACATTAACACTATTTAGCATTGTTTAGGTGGTCCTGCTGGTCCATTATGCTGATGTCCTTAAACTGACATTTATGATTCATGAGGTATCCCCTGCATATGAGGGACATGATATTAACAATTTCTTCTTTACAACCTCAGGGAATGTTTTGGACAAACTCATTACTTAAGCCTTAAAAAGTTGTTTACCTAAAACTCAAGGTGTTATCTGGGGAAATAATGCGTTGCAATACTACTGTCATATTCCAAGCTGTTAGACCAGACTGACTGTAGGGTTTACTCTGCTCTATCAGTATTGATTTTTATGAATAGGTATTTTTATTTTTGTTCTTCATATCAGATATTTGCGAAATGTCACTGTATGAAGTTGTAACCTGCATATGTACTGAAGTAATGGCATTCTCACTCCATATTATTGAAGCATGGCAGCTATTCAAATTGGCAAATTTCGCATTAGATATATTCTATACATTATGAAACCCTTTTAGTCTCACATATAGATTTCTTAACAAGTCCATGTTTTTTGTTAGATACAGACTTTATGACGAGTTTATTTCAAAGCATTTCCAACAAGCAAAGGGGAGTTAAATTCATTTTGAAACTCTCTTGTATCTTCTGGCATCGGACTGAAATGAGTGTTGTAATTTATTTGTTACTCACTTCAACTTTGCACATAATCAAAATTAGACGTTGCTGGTGTGAAGGTTTCTGTATGAGGAGCTGATGATTTAACTATAGACTGTTCTCTCTGTGCAGCCTGGCAACAAAGTACATAGCTTTCTCCAAAATAGTTTATAAGAAACGATAAGATTCTGATTCTAAAAACATGTTCATTATAGCATCATATACACAAAACATCAAGTTGGAAACATCTTGATCTCAAATCAGTGAAAAATCTAGCATCCATCTTGATTGAGTGTAGATTAGTGGAGCCTGAGAGACAATCAACTCATCGAGTCATGTCATATTGGTTATGTGATTTCAAGTCAGCAGATCTGCTCTGAAATTGATCACCCCCTGACCAGCTGATGCCAAAATGATCAGTCCATGCGGGATGTTATTGAACACTATTTAATACAGGTCTATTGTTATAAACAGGTGATCTCTTCACAGGTCAGTACAGTAATAAATGAACATACACAGATGAAATAAAGATTGAATTTCAATTATCAGTGTCAAGTGAGCAGTGTCAGAGCCTACCCAGTGTCAACAGTTACATGTATAGTATATAACTGGGTTTTGAACCAAGTTGAAATGAGACTTGATAAGTATAAGTCTGAAAGGTGGCCCACTCGTAGTGAGAGGGGGCGCGGGTGGCCCAGTCGTCTAAGGCGCCGCGATTCGCTGTGCAGAATTGCGTCCTGTGGGCACGCCGGATACCCATGATTGTGGGTTTGAATCCCGGTTCGACCCGATTATGTTTCTAGGTTTGTCAGTACCATACCTGTGCTCGTGGGTTTCATCGAAGTGATAAACATCTGAGACCTGCATCACTTCGGGCTTTCCTCCCACATGAAGCTGACACGCCGCGATATAACTGGAATACTGTTAAAAGCGGCGTTAAACCCAACTCACTCACTCATTTGTAGTAAGAATTGGTGATAATGAAGACAAAAGGAACAGTCTTATGCCTTTTCGAGAAAGGGGCAATAAGTCAGCCTGTTTATCCATTGTAATGTAAACATATTTTCAAGTTATTTTTTATGATTTTCTTTAAATTGTTTGGATTCTGTTGTCAATTTTCTTTTCATATGGGAAACCTGTAATACATGTATAAATATCAGTCTGTGGCTTAATCTGGTAATTATAATAAAACCATCAAACTGTACAGAAAAAAGCACATATTGCCCAGTTTTTTTGCACGGACTGTATTTTTTCAATTGTACAGAGAGTTTGATAGAGAGATATGGAACAGTACATGATTTCCCCTCTACATTGACAGTATATTGTTAAGTCTTTTATATTCCACCAGGATCCTACTGTTGATGATACAAGCTATGAAAAATATTAGTTGTTTCCAAATGTGTACCTTTATCAGATTGTTATATCAGGGTATTACGAGGCTGCTACTTTAGCCACTAGTCTGAAGCCTCCCTCTCATAAAGTTTATTTTTGACTAGTAAGCTTAGTTCCTCACAAGCCATATGTTGAGATTTAAATCTACTGAGAAATTAGGCCAAAAGCACAAATGTCTGTGAGAAATTATAGAGAGATGTAATTATTTTGGAGAGGTTGAAAGAGTCAAAAATGATTTCCTTTTCAACACTATTGAAATGTGGTATGTGGATAATTACAGTGCAGTTTATTGTCGATCAGCCCAATCCAGATGATTAGTAAGTGACTAGGCGACCAGGGTAAGCTTAATTGTTTTTGGTAATTACCATATTAAACAGCCTGAATGGAGTGGACTGGTGTTTATTCCCGACGGAAGAATTTCCCAGTCATTTACAGATGTCTATAGCAACCCCACCCAGTGGGCTTCCTTCCTCAGGGTAGGAGTGAGGTCACAGAGGGAGGGGGAGGATGGACAGGTGGGGAAGGTATGGACAGAGGGAATGAGGACCAGTGATTACTTACGTCATGGTCGACATATTGGCGTCACTCCAGGTAGCAGGCTAGCTTTCAGTCTGCCACAACACATTGATTTTCCCTCAGTTCTTACACTCGTGAACAGACAAGAAATTGCTGGCTTTAATGTAGGTCTAAGATGAGGAGCTGCCCCTTCTCAGGGCATTGACTATTGATAATGTGCATCAAGGCCATTGCCGATATCAACACATGGCGACTGCCAGAAGACAATGAATATAGCCAGGGTTTGGATTTAACACTAGCCTGCTAGTCCGGGGCAAGTTCAAGTTTCTGTGGGCGAGTACAAATTTCCCAGTTTCCCAGTTTCCCCTTGGTTTTAACATAACAAGGGCATTTTATCTTTACCGGGGCTAGTCAAGCTTTTGAGTTTAGTTATAACCCTTCTAAGTGTGTTATCCCCGGTACTTCAAATAATGCTGATGACTTGAGTCTATATATGATAGTGATAGTACACAGTTGCCAATATTGTAAAATAAACACATTCTTCAACATGTTCAAAATAATTGAAAGAACATTTTGATTAAGTTTTCTTTTGGAATATGTCAAGAATAGATGGATACATTGTTTCCAGTTGTCAGTATGTTTTAGGGTAATATCCATAGTCAGCATATGTTCAGAGCTCTACCGTTTTACAAAATTACAAAATGTTTATACTCATAAAAGTTTTCCTTGTTCTAAGCTTCGACTCTATAGTATAAACTATTTATGTATATATTATCAGGAATATGGTTTCGCATCATTATAAGGAAATAAATCTTTCTTCTTCTTTTTTGAGGGGGTGGGGGTGGAGGGTGGGTCAACAAGATTGCTGATTTATGGGCTTTAGAAATGAATGTTAATATAATAATAACAATGAACTGACACAGACAATGAACAGACACTGATATACTTCACTAGTGTGTAAAAATTATATTGCTAAGATTGTATTAATAGCTGCATCATCTAAGGTGATAAGTGTGTACAGTTTTTACAGCAGTTTTATCTATGTGGCTAGTTTTATGCTCATACTATTGAAGTCATATTTGAGAATTTAACCTGTTTTCAGTTTACTTTTGTAAACAGTTTACATACCATGCATATAGGTCACTTTGCGAAGTTGCAGTAACAGATATGTTAATGTCATGTCTGTTTATTTCATTATTTTGTAACAAGGAAATAGAAAATAGAACCAATGATACATCATGCTTTAAATAAACATGAAGCATGATTTGTGTAGGCATATATAATCATCACATTTCCTTTATCATGATTATTACGGGACCAAAATGACATCAAATTTGAACCTATATCCTCCCCTTATGACACAAAACAAATTTCCTTGTGCCAATCTTGCATCTTTAAACTCACGTTTTTGCAAGATTAATTTATTATCAGATTTGTGTTTAAAAGAGATTTCTGAATTAAGCATATGTTGATTTGCTTTAAGTTATTTGATTCTATCCAAATGATATTGCTCTACATGCCTTGAACAACCGTGATGTTGCAAGATGGTTCTTTAACATGACGTATCTGTATTGAAATTGTCCAATGTTTGGGTTTAAGCATGAAGTTTTCATGAATACTTTTCTGCTTGGATATGCAGCACTTAAGGTATGAAGTGTGTTAGGTTAGTTTGATTCCTCTCATTGACCAGTCAGAAGTGAATACTCTCCAGTCATGGAAAATGTATGTTTTGAGCTGTCTCGTTTCAGTTCTTCTGTAATATTTGTTTTGGTTTTTTTCTTTGCAGATTGCATGTAATATTTTTCGCACTCTTCCACCTAATGACAATCCTGACTTTGACCCGGAAGAAGACGACCCAACACTGGAGGCATCATGGCCTCATTTACAGGCAAGAAAACATATCCATCCTCTCTCATTAAGCCACTTTTCCACACACACTACCCCACCCTCTCACCAGGCCACCATCTGCCTCAACCATCACCTTACACACAAGCCCAAACTATTACCAAGTCACAGACCACCATCTGCCTCACCCTGTCACCAAGTCACCAGGCCACCATCTGCCTCACCCTGTCGCCAAGTCACAGACCACCATCTGCCTCACCCTGTCGCCAAGTCACCAGGCCACCATCTGCCTCAACCATTATCTCACACACAAACCCAAACTATTGCCATGTCACAGACCACCGTCTGCCTCACCCATCACCTCACACACTACCCCACCCTCTCACTAAGTCATCAAGTCACCAGGCCACCATCTGCCTCAACCATCAGCTCACACACAAGCCCAAACTATTGCCATGTCACAGACCACCATCTGCCTCACCCTGTCGCCAAGTCACCAGGCCACCATCTGCCTCAACCATCAGCTCACACACAAGCCCAAACTATTGCCATGTCACAGACCACCGTCTGCCTCACCCATCACCTCACACACTACCCCACCCTCTCACTAAGTCATCAAGTCACCAGGCCACCATCTGCCTCAACCATCAGCTCACACACAAGCCCAAACTATTGCCATGTCACAGACCACCGTCTGCCTCACAAATCACCTCACACACAAGCCCACCCTGTCACAAAGTCACCAGGCCGCCATCTGCCTCACCCATCTCCTCACACACTACCTGACTCTGTCACCACGTCACTAGGCCACCATCTGCCTCACCCTTCACCTCACACACAAGCCCACCCTGTCACCAAGGACCGCCTCCGTGGTCTTGTGGTAGAGCGTCCGCCCGGAGAGCGGAAGGTCCGGGGTTCGATCCCGGGCCGCGTCATACAAAAAGACGTTAAAAGATTGTACTTGTTGTTACCCTGTCTGGCGCTCGGCATTAAGGGGCTAAAACAAGGACTGGTCGGCTCGGAGTCAGTATACTGTGTCTGAGTGGGGTATTCATGTTAAACTGCGGCATGGTATCTCAGTGAGCTAGCACTATAAATCGGCATCAGTCCGGACTAGTACAAGCAGCCACACACACACATACACGTGCATGCACGTCGCTATATAAGTGCAATAATCTTGGACGCGACGTTAAACCCAATTTCACCTCACCTCACCTGTCACCAAGTCACCAGGCCACCATCTGACTCATCCATCTCCTCACACATTACCCCACTCTGTCACCACGTCAACAGGTCATCATCTGCCTCACCCTTCACCTCACACACAAGCCCACCACGTCACCACGTCACCAGGCCACCATCTGCCTCACCCTTCACCTCACACACTACCCCACCTCGTCACCAGGTCACATCTGATTCACCCTTCACCTCACACACAAGCCCAACCTGTCACCAAGTCACCAGGCCACCATCTGCCTCACCCATCACCTCACACACTACCACACCAAGTCACCAGGTCACATCTGATTCACCCTTCACCTCACACACAAGCCCAACCTGTCACCAAGTCACCAGGCCACCATCTGCCTCACCCTTCACCTCACACACTACCCCACCTCGTCACCAGGTCACATCTGATTCACCCTTCACCTCACACACAAGCCCAACCTGTCACCAAGTCACCAGGCCACCATCTGCCTCACCCATCACCTCACACACTACCACACCAAGTCACCAGGTCACATCTGATTCACCCTTCACCTCACACACAAGCCCAACCTGTCACCAAGTCACCAGGCCACCATCTGCCTCACCCTTCACCTCACACACTACCCCACCAAGTCACCAGGTCACATCTGATTCACCCTTCACCTCACACACAAGCCCAACCTGTCACCAAGTCACCAGGCCACCATCTGCCTCACCCATCACCTCACACACTACCACACCAAGTCACCAGGCCACCATCTGCCTCACCCATCACCTCACACACTACCACACCCTCTCACTAAGTCATCAAATCACCAGGCCACCATCTGCCTCACCCATCTCCTCACATACAAGCCCACCCTGTCACCAAGTCACCAGGCCACCATCGGCCTCGTCCATCACCTCACACACTACCCCACCAAGTCACCAGGCCACCATCGGCCTCACCCATCACCTCACACACTACCACACCCTCTCACTAAGTCATCAAATCACCAGGCCACCATCTGCCTCACCCATCACCTCACATACTACCACACCAAGTCACCAGGCCACCATCTGCCTCACCCATCACCTCACACACTACCACACCCTCTCACTAAGTCATCAAATCACCAGGCCACCATCTGCCTCACCCATCTCCTCACATACAAGCCCACCCTGTCACCAAGTCACCAGGCCACCATCGGCCTCGTCCATCACCTCACACACTACCCCACCAAGTCACCAGGCCACCATCGGCCTCACCTATCTCCTCACACACTACCCCACCCTGTCACCAGGCCACCATCGGCCTCGTCCATCACCTCACACACTACCCCACCAAGTCACCAGGCCACCATCGGCCTCACCTATCTCCTCACATACTACCACACCAAGTCACCAGGCCACCATCTGCCTCACCCATCACCTCACACACTACCACACCCTCTCACTAAGTCATCAAATCACCAGGCCACCATCTGCCTCACCCATCTCCTCACATACAAGCCCACCCTGTCACCAAGTCACCAGGCCACCATCGGCCTCACCCATCTCCTCACACACTACCCCACCCTGTCACCAGGCCACCATCGGCCTCACCCATCTCCTCACACACTACCCCACCCTGTCACCAGGCCACCATCGGCCTCGTCCATCACCTCACACACTACCCCACCCTGTCACCAGGCCACCATCGGCCTCACCCATCTCCTCACACACTACCCCACCCTGTCACCAGGCCACCATCTGCCTCACCATCATCTCACCCATCACCTCTTCTTTCTTCTCTTTCACTCTCTCTCTCTCTCACCCCACCCTCCACCCCTTCCCCCCATACATCAGGCCACCACTTGCAAGTTCATTTTCCATGCCCAGCATCCATATTCTGCCATAATCTGTTTTTATGACCTTAAACTTTCATGCTGAATTTAATGTTAAACATGTTAAAGGACAACAGATGGATATTTCTTTTCAATTTGGACACTGATCGAGGTATGCAAGTAACTCATTCCTAAGATAAGTTTTCTTTACAGTTAAAGCACAGTGTTTGTTAACTTAATGTATTTGATCAGGAATGGCCTTCAGCAGTATGTTTAGTTGTTGTAACATCCTTCATGAAATGTGTATTTATCATTGAGTTGCATGTTCCAGCAATATGCATCTGACTGTGTGATGCTGGATTTCCCGGCATGACATGGTGTCTTTATCTATACCTGGGGTTGCCATCACCGACAGTGTCAGCTGGGTTATGCAGATGGGGAGGAATGTTAGTCTATGCTTAATGGGGATGTAAGGGAAAACATCATGTCTGCTCTGTTTCAACATGCTTTCTTTTCTTTTTCAGATTGTTTATGAATTTTTTCTCCGCTTTCTTGAATCTCCAGACTTCCAGCCAAGTTTGGCCAAGAAATATATAGACCAAAAGTTTGTTCTTCAGGTAAGTAAACTGTGCTTTAAACACGATGTATATTTTAGAATTTTGTATGTTAGTCTATAATTGTAATGCAAGTCATGATGTACTCACATACTTGATAGCTCCAGACTTTTCATCATGACTTGATGTTTTCTTTGTTATTTGTTCTATTTGTTGTTTAACATCGCACTCAGCAATGTTCAGGCAACATGACAGAGGTCTGTAAATAATTGAGTCTGGACAAGACAATCAAGTGATTTGATATCATGAGCATTGATCTAGGCAATTAGGATACAATGACTTGCGTCAACCAAGTCAGGGAGTCTGACCACCTAATCCTGTTGTCGCCTCTCACGACAAGCATAGTCACTCATGACTTGGGGGCGGTCGGGTAGCCTAGTGGTTAAAGCGTTCGCTCGTCACGCCGAAGACCCGGGTTCGATTCCCGACATGGGTACAATGTGTGAAGCCCATTTCTGGTTTCCCCCGCCGTGATATTGCTGGAATATTGCTAAAAGCGGCGTAAAACCATAGTCAGTCAGTCACTCATGACTTGATGTAGACCACAGGGTAGTTGGGGTGGCTCAATGATTAGAGCTTTTGCTCGTCATGCTGAAGACCTAGGTTCGATTCCCCACATGGGTACAATGTGTGAAGCCCCTTTTCCAATGTCCCCTGCCGGGATATTGTTGGAATATTGCTGAAAGCGGCTGAAACCATACTCACTCACTCACTCATGTTGAAGACTGGGTTAGATTACCCACATGGGTAATCTGGTGTCTACAAATGGCATAAAACCCAACACACTCACTGGTGTAGGTTAAAGGTGATCTTTTATTTTTGGATGACCTTTTATTAGCATTCGTTTTAAATCAACTTTTTGAAAGAACAATAGGACTAGGACTGGCACATTTTGCTGTAGAATGTGGTTATCAGTCGACTGTTAATGTCAGACACTGTGTGTACTTTCTATGTAGGTTAGAGAGATAATAGCCTGGGAACTGCTGCATGCTGCAAGAAAACAATGAGTAAACATTATCTAGGTCTAGAATACCAATTCAAGATTATGGATTTCCAAGATTGGAAATTAACATGAGACAATTGGTAATTTAAAAAAAACCTTCAGAGATCCAAAGTATTATCTCCTTTCTCAATATAAAACTTTCATGGTCAGATTGTTTCGTACATACATACCCATTATTTTATATATATTTATAATTTTTTAATGTGAAATTTACAGGACATTCAGCTTTTAGATTTGACAAGGGGCTGGTTACTTGACTGCGAAACTGACATTCATTAGCATATGAACATCACATTTTGATGTTCCTTCATTTTTCATGAGACTTTTCTTGAAATGACGTAAACACTGGCGGAGTACTTCCACATTCCTGGGGATTTGCAGTAGGGGTGGGACGATACACTAACTGTGCGATCCGATATGTATCACAATAGCTTGCTACAACCGATACATATTGTGATACTAGAATGTGCCAAATACCTGGCACACTGATGATTTACGGTTGGCAGTGACAGGTATTGCACAGTGGATGAAAACACTTTCACGACTAATGTCATGTAAGAGTTATTTAAGCATTCACTGACGATAAGAATCAATATGTTTTACTTAGTGTGTGACTGTGATCGATACTTGTATCAAGAAATAAAAATCACGATCCAGCAATGCATCAGTGTATCGTCCCAAGCACTAATTTGTAGTGGGGAAACCCCCAGGAATACCCTGTAACGGACAAATACAGTAGCATTGTTTCTGATCATTTAGACCCTTAACCTTGGACTCAGCTTTTTAAGCATGCACTGGGACATTTGACTCCATGCCCTTTCAAGAATATCCTCCCTATGACCCATCTTAGTGAACAAAACGAAGAAATGCACATCAAAACAGAGTGACAGTCTACAGCAATATATGAATTTACCTCATTATCTATTTAACACATCTGTGTTATCACATTTCAATGATGATGATGGGCCAATTGATCAATGATGACAAACACTTGTAAACGCCACAGGTTTCTTACGAACTTTAGGAACCTTCCGTCACGTTTATCGTGTCAGCCATTTTGACGTCCTGTACTTGATGAAATGTATTATGATGTGCTGTCGCTGTGACTGACTTACTGAGGTAGTTCTGAACAGATCTTTCTCATCTAACGATGATCATATTTGAATGTATTGTTGTAACCAAACTACAAATTATGTTACTGTATAGCAATTTGATTACACATACACTCATGTCACTTCTCGTTTTGAGGAACTATTTTATTTTGCGATACCATGGTGAACATGAATTCACACATACAAAATGAGTATACATCCTTCGAGTTATGAGACAGTGGAATAAAAAATTATAGGCATTGACATACACTATGTGTGAGTTCACTGCAGTTTGAGTGAGGGGGCGGTCGCCTAGTGGTTAAAGGGTTTGCTCGTCACGAGTTTGATTCCTGACATGGGTACAATGTGTGAAGCCCATTTCTGGCATAAAACCATACTTACTCACTCACTCTCTCACTCATAGAGTGAGAGCCAAAAATTGAATGAATGTCGTCGCAAGCTCTGACACTCATATACAGTTTGACCCTCACTCACTGAATGTTCATACTGCAGTAAACTCACACAAGGTGATAGTTGGTTCTTAAATAGTGATCAGTGTTGATAAACACAATTTAGTTCTGTTCTCATCAGCGTTGACTCATTAGTCCAGCCAAAATGTAACTCCATAATACCAGCCTAGTTCAGCAAGGGTGGAAACTGGACTTTTATAGTCCTCTTTTAACTCTCTTGCCTCGGTAAATGCTACAGAGCAGTTATAGGTGTCTGTCATTCATCCATGAATCATGACCACTGTCCACACGATCAATGATTCATTGCAGACTCTAAAGTAATTATCTAAACATTCAGTACACTACATCATTACATTACTTCACAGGAGTTTTTTATTGCCTGCAAGTACCCTGAAAATTAATTACTAGGGGTCCCTGGACCCCTACTTTTGTAAGTCAAGGTAAAACCCTGTGTTTTTCATGTCACCGCTCTGTATGACCCTTGCCTCCATGTTACAACCATGATGGAAGGGAAGACAACAAAAACAATTGGCTCTCAGTCATTAATTAAATTGTAATGCAGGTGGTTTCTTTTTTGGTCCAAGAGGATTCTAGGGAACAATAGGTCGCCAGTATCCCATACCTGTAGAAACAGGTGACAAATGAGGATCAGGCTCACTTGTACAAGCTGTCTTAGCGCTAAGACAGTGTAAATGCTGTGTTTGAATATGGGAGTCACTTGAGCTGCAGCATTATGGTCCCTTTGTGCAAGTCGGCCGTGGTGGTAAATGTGTGACCTGGCTGATTCTGCGTTTACCTTGATGATGTAGATCTTTGCTCATACTATCAACCACTAGTTAATGTGTCCCAAATTTGATTATATACTGTGTGCCAGGATATAGCTTAAATGTGATTATTGCAGTGTACAAAATGTTCACTCGTTTTATTATTAAATGTATAGATAATATGTTATGTATTAAATGTGCGAAAACATTTTCTTGTACGTTCAAGTATTGTAGTCTTTTTTATGTCTGTTTCAGTTATTGGAACTCTTCGACAGTGAAGATCCACGGGAACGAGACTTTTTGAAAACTGTCCTTCACCGGATCTATGGAAAGTTTCTTGGACTTAGAGCTTTCATTAGGAAACAAATAAATAATTTTTTCCTCAGGTAAGATTCAACCTTTCAAGACAATATTTTCACATATAATTGGAAGATCAGATGTTCCATGAATGTTTCGTATTAGTGATTCAGGAAGTTTGTTCGTCAAATTTCCAAGGCACACACTTTGTTGAAAGAACACACCTAAAAAGGTTTGTCTGGACTTACAGAGATCCGGTGAATTATTCATGCTGCACTGTGTTCAAAGGGACATCTGTGGCATGATAAAACTTTTTGTGTTCGATTTTGTATATTTTTTCAAAGCCTTCCATTGTGCATAAAATACCAACGTATTTAGCTGAATATCCTGTTTCTTATCCCTCTGACAAATAAAATATTGTGTTGGTTAGTTTGTCCAGGTTGCACCTCTCACTGTACACAAGTTGTCATACTATTCCTGCTTTCAGGTTTATTTATGAAACAGAGCAGTTCAATGGAGTTGGAGAACTATTAGAGATATTAGGCAGGTGAGTGGCGAACAATGTCTCCTTTTAACCACGCATTCCAGATGTATTGTATGTATCATGATAGTCATTGATTTACAATTACCAACTATGAAATTTGTTTCTGTTCATTTTGAGAACAGTTTTTAGGAGTTGGACACTTTTCCCATTAGCAGTAAAGTAATTAGGTAAAGTGTGGGAATGGACATTACATGGAAATTCACAAAAATTTAGGAGATATGACTTTTTTCCCATTAGCAGTAAAGTAATTAGGTAAATTGTGGGAATGGACATTACATGGAAATTCAAAAAAAATTAGGAGTTACATGGAAATTCACAAAAATTTAGGAGTTATGACTTTTTTCCCATTAGCAGTAAAGTAATTAGGTAAATTGTGGGAATGGACATTACATGGAAATTCACAATAATTTAAGAGCTATGACTTTTTTCCCATTAGCAGTAAAGTAATTAGGTAAATTGTGGGAATGGTTATTACATGGAAAATCACAATAATTTTTTTATTTTTTTTTTAAGCCAAGGTTTTGCACCAGTGAAAGGTTGACATGTTTGTTTGTATTTGCAGCATTATCAATGGTTTTGCTTTACCACTGAAGGCAGAACACAAGCAGTTCCTCATCAAGGTTTTGATCCCTCTACACAAAGCTCGCAGTCTAAGTCTCTATCATGCACAGGTAAGCTAACAATGTTGATCAAGCGCCTTTGATAAGTACTTTCACTTCAGTGAAATATGTATGGCCTGTCTGTCTTTGTTTCTCCAAAAGGTACAGCTGTGTAGAGATGGGCGTGTACACATGATAACACAGAATTTTGATTACTGTGATCACATTACCGTTTTTGACTATGCACAATATACGAAATAGCAACTTTTCGTGAAACTTGTACTAAATAATCAGGTCTGTGTGCATTATACTCAAGTGTGCACTATACACATGAAAATTCAGTAAAAAGAATCTCACCCTCATGCCTTGTGAGATCAAATATATCAAGACTCATTGATAAAAGTAAAAATATCCTCAGCAATCCTCAGATTTTTGTAACTATCTTGAAATATTTGAATTAAGAAGACACTAGGTGAGATTCTTTATGTGTTATGATATTAAGCCATTCCAGAGAGTTTAATTCCAAAGCAGGTTTCCAGACTAGCCAGGTTTTAGCTATGTGTTGTATTTGGTCAACATTGATACTGTCCATGATAAACAGGGATGAGAAGATATTGCAGAATTTACAATGATTGAGATCTATAACATATCATTCACAAGATGTATTTTGTATTTTCACCATGTGGCTGTAGCATATTCTTGCCTTCTCCTGCAATGAATAGCCATAATATTGCTGAGAGGGGAATAGTGTAAAACATTCACTGCCACTCATGGCATTACCTTAATTGGCAAGGTGATGGTTCATCTGAAACTTGAAACAATTTTCCGGTTGTGATTAACTTTTATTTGACTCCTCGAAAGAAAACATGATCCTTCCTAATCCTGGATTGCTGCTATTCGGAAGGTCCTCTTTGCTCAGAAGGCCTTCATTTATTTTTTTTGATGCATTATTCAACAATGACATTTCACTTTCGGATAAAGAATTAATCCCAAGGGTGCCATTTGAGGCTTTAAATGATTTTTCAGCATAACGCAACTTTATGATTTTGTGTTTTTGTCTGTAATACCTGACTGATAATATGAGTGAACTTTGATTTTATTATCCAGCCTTCCAAAGTAGTTGTTTTGTAATCTGAACACTGTCTTTGACTCGGTGCACTTGATAAAGTTTTTGTTTGAATTCTTATAAATGAATTTGCCATTTCTTGGAGGATGAACTGAATCTTTGAAATGGCAGAGGTCAGTGACAAATCCCCCAAGACAGGCCTTCTACATCTTACTCCCACACAAACACTGTGTTACACAATAATTGATGTTGCCAAAGGCTGCAGGACATGACTCCAGCAGGGAAATTGTACCCCACTTGCTGCCATTGTGTGTGGAGCTTGGGCTTGACAGATGTCATTGTCGGTGCAGCAGCAGCAGCAGCATTTTACTGTAGTTCTTTTCATAGTTGTGTCATTTCCTCAGTCAATCACTGTTTTGTTACTTGAAAAAATATATTTTTACAAAAGTTTTAATTTCATTGAATTGCATCATCCACATACAAATTTCCACTTTCCAGAATCATATAATTTGTTCATTACTGTGAAAGAGAAACAGGTCCAAAAACACAAACAGTTGATTAGTCTAAGATATCACCATCTGACATATTCTTCAGACAGATTTGTGCTCGATGGTGGTAGGATTCCGTGCTTGTCAGTTATACCAGTGGTAGGACATTCCCTGTCTAGGCAATTGATCTCGGGTGTCTGACCTTTACTGTACAGCATTTGTACCCAGTGCTTTTTGTAACAGGAATATGCCTTGCATCAAGTGCCACTAAAGTCTCTTCTTAAATTAATCAGATTGTTTGAAAAAAAGGGTATTATTCACAGGGATGAGAATCTTCCACGAATTTAAGTGACCAAAAATGTATTAAATTCTGATGAACCCCCAATAAAGGTCCCCAAATTATGGACCATGCTCAATTAAAAAGACATTTCAGCTGAAAAGGAAAATATTCATTCTCATCCCTGTATTCAGTAGTACATTAATAATAATTTACTCGTGTTGAATTTGTTGACCTATTGTGTCTAAACCATGTTTCTCCTGATGAGATTATGTACTTTCATTGTGTGGACTCTCTTCCTTATCATACAAAATAAATGCTTTCAATTACCTGGTTTACTGTGCATTTGGGATGACTATCATAACATTTTGTATTTGCATCTCATGAAAATGTCAATATTTTCTACTAACCGTAATAATGAAGAAAAATATTTCCTACTGACTTAAATTTTATAGCCATATAGAACGACATGTAATATTATTTTAGGCTTTATCGTTGTGCTGTTCAGTTATGTTTTTGGTTGAATAAAATTTGAAAAACCTGCTTTAATTTTCCTGCAGCAAAAGTAAGAATAAGGCAATTAAGCAGGGTTTGTTTCTGATTTTTGACAAATATAATTTCAAATTTGTCATTTTGGTACCACACTTTTCAAAATATTAAGAAATTGTCATTTTTAGAAATTAGAGTGCCCTCTAATATACATAACTCATCTGCATAACTCAAAATTTCCTTGTCTGAGAATAACTCCTATTTTCTCTTATAAACTGTACCTAGGTTGTGCATGTTAAATTCAGATGATTTTCTTCCATGTTCCTGATTCATTAATTCAGAAGTATGTCAGTCCAGACAATGTGTCTTGGATGGAACTGTTTGGAGTAACAAGGTTTCACTGTATAGAGGAACTTATTAGAATTCAACCTTGGAAAATATGTGCCCTATACTGTTATAGGTATCTTTTGGGTATGTCGATATTTGATATATTTTACAATACAGTAAACTACGGTTATAACGAACTCAAAGGGACCACTAATTTCAGTTCGTTATAACCGTAGTTCGTTTCAAGCATATCTACATCATAATTACAACAAATGCCTGGGACTAAAAAATAAGTTTGTTATATAGGTCAGTTCGTCTATATCAGTGATTTTGCTGGAGATAAATGTTTTACAACTTTACATCTTTACTACCATTTTGGATAACTATCGGTCAGTGTCCTAGAAAGTAGACTGATTTGAAACCCTGCTATATGTCATCACATTTTTTAGATGAGGGCTGAGAAATATGAGTCATTTCTCTGCCCCACTGTGATGTTTGAATTTCTTGGAGCCCTTAGGATACCTTTGTTATTAGTCAGCCTAGCCTGGTAGGGCTTAAGTCCGAAGCTGAAATTTTGTTCGTGAGTGCAGTGATTTGTAAAACAAATACAGAAAGACACAGTGCAGATTTATTGAATTTACTTCACTCTGTTTTGTTTTAGCTGGCCTACTGTGTCGTGCAGTTCTTGGAAAAGGATGCTGCTCTCACTGAGGATGTAAGTATTGACACCAAATTCAATGTCTGCTGATGTATTGTTGTTGAAAATGGGAACTTGGAATACGGTTCATGTAGATGAAGATTATGTCAGTATCAGTGTTGATTCAAGCATTGAAGTACATTTACACTGTCCCTCAAGAAGTGGTGGAGTAGCCCAGTGGTTAAAGCATGCTGACGACCTGTGTTCCATTCCTCACGTTAAACATGTACAGTGTGTGAAGAGCATTCTTGGTATCCCGGTCTTGTCGCTAGAATATTGAAATAAGCGATGTAGAAGTATTTCATTCAGTGAGTTGTGGGGTAAATTATACCATTACACCACTGGATTAACTAGGGCTGTTACGATTTACTCGCGTATTCGATGAATCGAACCGTACACCTTCATGAATTGAATTTGTTATTCCTGGTCGCTAGAATCGCACTATGTACGATTTTTCGGTAAAGAGTGTTTTTTAACTCGTCAGTTATTTATCAAAGCGAGATATGCAAGATGGAATATAAACAAGCCAGCAGTAGTGTAACTTGTGTCAGTTTGTCAAGGCCCCTAATGGTCCTGTCAACCAAAACATGAGGCTAGTATAAGCGTTATTGTTGCAATGTATTGCTTGTTTGCTTCACAAAAAATATCACAGAAATGTTTCAACCTATGCAATTACATGACGTACATTTATGTACATTTTTAATAAACTCAAGTTTTACTCTGACACAATGTCTTTCCCCAATGCAAAGACAATAGCAGCTGATTACCGCGAGCACGTAACACCGGAAGTAACTTGTTATTGTATTTGTGAATAGATATTTGTATTCGTTACCCTATATTCATGATACGTATCATACTTGCCACATAGTGTATTCGTTGCAGCCCTAGTATTAACTGAGACCAAGTTTAGATTCTTGGGCAGAATATATCCCTAGCAGCCCATGCCAGTTGAAGGAAATGGCTGAATGAGGATGGGGTAATTTCAATATGACCTGGCTCATTCAACTTCTGCACTATAACGACTCGAATCTTTACAAGCCATCAAGTCCTGGGTTCAACTCCCTACATGGGTACATTGCGTGAAGCCCATATCTGGTGTCCCTCTCCATGATATTGCTGGAATATTGCTCAAAGTGGTGTGAAAAATACTCACTCACTCACTCACTCCTCCTTTACAAGCTGCTGTGAAATAGTTGGATTATTGGTTACTGGCACTGGCTTCAAAACATTCTCTCCCTTGCTTAGCTCTCCCATGTTCTGACATGTGACGTATCAGACTGTGAAGTAGGACAGCATGTTCAGCCCATACATGCTCGACATTATCTAGGGAAACAAGCTGGAGTTGAGAAACAGTAATTAGTATAGTTGATTTAATATTGATCAGTTAATTTCCCAACACTGGAGACTAGCTGCTTTCTAGATTATGGAATCCTGCTCACAGTTAGTTCATCGCAAGGGCATGGGGCTTGGATGCACTTTTGTCCTGAATCTATGTTTATAATTTGTATCTTATTCTTGAATTCATTTTCGCTTCAATAAATTAAAACAGGGTTTGAAGAGACTAATGGTATGTTTCTTATTTTCAGGTTATCAAGGGTTTACTTAAGTTCTGGCCGAAGACCTGTAGTCAGAAAGAGGTATGTCTGAATACCCTGTATGTCATGTGATAAAAATGAATGCTAAGATCTCAAAGAAACCATGACAGTCAGATGTTATAGCTGCAGTTTGATGTACAAGTCCACCATTGTCCACAGCCCAGTCAAAACATTCCTGAGGAAATGCAGCAACCAAAATCAATTCTCTGTTTTTGTTACATGATTATTAAATTACATTCATGCAATAATTATTATCAAGCAGGCAATGAGCTTGTGTTCATCAAAGTTGAAATTGATTCTTGTTCGTTAATTTGGACGTCAAAATGTCATTTTTTATCTAAACATCACTGGCGTATGTCTCTTAGTTTATAACTGTATTCAACGTAATAAGCGCCCACAGCGATATTTGCTAATATATTGGCTAGTGAAAAATCCAAATTAGCACCCCTTCCGATTGATCAATGTACACAAGACTTATTTATTTGTGTATAATACGCACTTGTGTGTTATATGCACCCTTAATTATGGGCAAATAAATTTTGGAAAAATATATCTGTCGTGTATAATACGCACAGACTTTTCTTTTGTATCATTTCAGGCTCTTAGCATAAACTACGAAATTTACGATCTTTCAACTCTGTTTTTTTATTTTCACCCAAATTTTGAGAGCGCCCTGGGCGCTTATTGCCTCGAATACAGTATGTCATGGGTTTTCTCATGACATTTTTATGGCACACTATATAATGTTAAGAAGACTGAACCTGCATTTCTATTTTCCGTCTTGTATCTTGTAGTTGAGTGAATTATAATTCAATGTTTATTACTTGCTTGTTGATATAAAGAATCCAAGTATCAAATATTTAGCACCATATATTATCCTGTTCAACATATGGTTATGGCTTAGAATTTGTATCAAGCTGTGACGTGGCATTTAGCATAGGCTTGTTGGCAAATCTTGTACTAGAGCCTAGGGACACAATTAGATGGACAGCATCACCTGTAGTCACTGTCTAATTAATCAGTTGGCCAAACTAGAGCCATGCTGATGGCGAGTGGCATAACACCTACGAAATATTTGGAAGAAGCTTATGTCCTCAAAGGGATCGGGTGGTCAGGCTTGTTGACTTGGTTGATGCATGTCATCGTATCCCAATTTTGTGGATTGATGCTCATGATGTCAATCACTGGACTGTCTTGTCCAGACTCGATTATTTACAGACCGCTGTGATATAGCTGTAATATTGCTGAGTGCGGCGTTAAACGACAAACAAACAAAACAAACAAACAATGTGAAAGAAATGGCACTCTAGACTCAATGCTCAGGTGATATTTATCTGCCGCTGTCCTTGTTTCTAACGTTTGGAGAAGTCACAGCACTGAAATATCTTTCTGGATTAGGCCCTCATCTCTGGTGTACACAGTTTGTTTTGGCAGTTGATTATTTACACCATATAAATGGAATACTGCTGAGTGCAGCATTAAATGACCTACAACATGAAACCCTGTAGTTTCAAGCTATGGCTTGTATTACAATTTCCTGTTGGAGATCTACAGCCTCACTTTAAAGTCTAATATAGATGTATTGTTATTATGGGTGATGTACAAAGAAACTTAGCAGAACTAAGCATTCATGTGTATACTACAAGGAGGTTTCCCACAGAAATTAACTATTTGTATTACAACAGATGAGTTGCTGATCCTAATACTGTCGTTTATTGCACCAATTAAAAGTGATGTTCCAAAGTCACATTGGGAAAATTTCATTTTCTGTACATTTGCCCCTGTATCCTCTTCTGAAAATGGGGCCGGTCAGGTAGCCTAGTGGTTCAAGCATTCGCTCATCACGCTGAAGACCCATGTACGATTCCCGACATGGGTACTATGTGTGTCCCTCGCCATGATATTGCTGGAATATTGCCAAAAGCAGCATAAAACCACACTCACTCACTCACTCACTCACTCTCTCACTCTCTCTCTCTCTCTCTCTCTCTCTCTCTCTCTCTCTCTCTCTCTCTCTCTCTCTCTCTCTCTCTCTCTCTCTCTCTCTCTCTCTCTCTCTCTCTCTCTCTCTCTTCTAAAAATGTGTTTCCCTTATTACAGGTGATGTTCCTGGGGGAAATTGAGGAGATCCTTGACGTGATAGAACCTGCTCAGTTCCAGAAGGTGATGGAGGCCATGTTCAGACAGATATCCAAGTGTGTGTCCAGCCCACACTTCCAGGTTAGTATTCCCCTAGCAATTCTTTTACAGTTTCCCCCCGGACTCGAAGGAAGATGTTCCCAAGGCATCTGCTTGTCATGAGCTACTAGTACCTGGGATCAGGGGCCAAGGCTGCTGTTACTTGTGAACACTCTGTTATGTTTTCATGCACTAAGAAGTCACATAAACACAGGATTATGCACAACTACCTAGAGACTAGTGGTAATCTGAAAAGTGGGCACCGCTCACAAGGACACTCATGATAAGGACAATCTCAAGTTTTAAACAGGTAGTTTTCATGCACAATATAGTAAAACTTTGAACTGTGACACTCATTCATATTAGGTCAGTTTGAGTCTACTAGACCAAACATGGCTCTTCGTCTTAGCATAATTTACTGTAGAATTGAGTGTTCTTAAATGGATTATTGTTAGCTGAGCTAAAAGACTCGGACCTTGGCTAGTGGCTACAGATGCAGACTGTCATATTCATTTGGTCACAACATCAGCAGCATCTTCTTTTCTGTGTTAAATAATTTGTCACCAAATCTAGTTACCGTATTCTCTGGAAAAGTGCCAAGGATGCTTAGAAAGTTGTCAGAGATGGATGGGTAGAGAACAGACTGAGTCCAAATGTCCAGGAAAGTTAAACTTTTTTAATAATAGTTACTAGGCAATTTATGTCGTTTTTACACTGCTGTTATTTCTATGAAAAGATCTGTAACATGCACAAGAAAATATGGATTGCCATGTGCATTTTGGGGCTTAATACCAGGCTATAAAGATACTAACGGAAGTAGAGTACACTGTACAACCTGACTCCTGGCTACATCCTGCTTGTCACTGACCCTCTTGTACTGTCAAACAGTGCCACCCTATAGCTGATCGTCATACACATTGCTGTTCAACTTTACGAGAGGGTCATTACAGGTAGACCGGCAAAAGTCCCTAAGATTCCCTAACCACAAGCTAACCACTTGATATGTATCAACTTCATGTGATGCCTCATGTGTCAAAGTCAGCCTTAACACAAACATCAAGGATTAAATGGTGGAAATGTTTGGAACAATATTTCAGTGCAGATAGTAGAGTTCGTTCTTATTTGCAAAGTAGTTTTCGGTCTGAGGTTTCAGTTATTTAAGTGTCCATTGATCCCTGGGTTGAGACAAAGGAGACATGGTTTAATGCAAACTAACTGTTGTTCATCAACACATCTTATCTCTGAGGCAGCATGTGGCAGAAACATTTAAAAGATAAACATTATGTGTTCTCTAATTTTCAGGTGTTGTGCATATTTTTTGAGTATTTGATGCTCAGAAATTTGTACGCCAATGTTTCAAATGTTACAATATCTATCCATTGAATATTCAATAACATCTGCAAATCTGAAGACATATAATTTTATCAATGTAGAACATCAGACATTTTCCCTATTCCGGGGTTTGATCCCTGGCAGCGTCATACCAAAAGACGTTAAAAGATGGTACTTGTTGTTACCCTGTCTGGCGCTCGGCATTAGGGGCTAGAACAAGGACTGGTCTGCTCGGAGTCAGTATACTGTGTCTGAGTGGGGTATTCATGTTAAACTGCGGCATGGTATCTCAGTGGGCTAGCGCTATAAATCGGCATCAGTCCGGACTAGTACAAGCAGCCACACACACACACACGTGCATGCACGTCGCTATATAAGTGCAATAATCTTGGACGTGACGTTAAAGCCAATTTCACCTCACCTCACCTCACCTCACCTCACCTCACCTCACCTCACCTCACCTCACCTCACAGTTGTGAGACAGATGTCACTCTGGAATACAATGACATCCTGATTCAAGATTCAATGGATGAATGTAGCAGGATGTGAAGGAAAACAACATATCAAAGTTGTTTTGATCAATACTGTTTAGACTTAATATATGATTAATGCAGTATACATTTGGTCCAGCTGAATGGCACATTTTCTTGGAATTTATGATTGAGAAAACAAAGGATTTATTTTTTAGAGCAATTAGTCTGCAGTACATACATGCTGGTTTGTCTCATTACAAAAAGATGTTTACTTGAAGTCAAATAACAGGCACCAGTTGCTTGTTTTGGTTCATGTCTTGTTATTTTAGAATTATTTCTATGGTCCAGTAAATTTGGTGTTGCAGCTGTAACAGTTGTGATCATCCATCTGTCTTGTGATGTTTTGTAATAACGTGTAGTTTTGTAGGAAGGAATCTTTGTTTCTCTTCATCCTCAACACAATAGTTGTAGTTTATTTTTTATAAATCCAATATTACTTTACAAAGAAGCAATCTATTCCCGTCATGTTTTAAGGTTTTCATATCTCTTATTCCAAATCCAAGGATGAAAACATTCCCTATGTAATTAGTGTTAAAAGCAGGTATCCTGTATGAGGAAGTGGGACGACAGGTCACAGTGCCCAGTCAGGCTGGTGTAGTTAAGGAAGATCCTCTGTGAGACACAACAGACATGTTACAAACACCAGGCCAAAACACAGGACTGCAGCAGCCACAGATAAAGCCTACTTATTTACCACAGATAAACACAGCACAATAAGCACCACTTTACAGGAATGTTTGATTGACAAGCCAAGGCAGGAATGACTCAACTTGAGAAATGGAAAAATAAATTGAACAGGAAACAGTCAGCACCACTAAGACTTGCACAGGCAAACAGCATTTTTCCTGCTGATAGTGGGATAGTTATTGGTGTATGATTACTTTGTTCTTTTAAAGAAAGCTGCGTATGTCTTTCATTTTCTGGGGCACATGAACTGGTGAATGATGTTCAAGATCATATATATTATATCTCCATATTTAATTTGTTTTATCATTGGATGTCTGGAAACTTGAACCTATCTAGTAAAAGTATTTATTTTCATTCTGTAACTTTAGCCTTTAGTCAGAAGCTTAAGTCTAGTAAATTCTGTCTACTAAGTTCAGCTAATAATGTCCATATGATTACACTAAACTCTATTGAAATTGATGTTTAGAGCAATGTAAGGACCAGTAGACACAAGACATTTGGGCACAGACTAACATTCCATCAGTGTTACGACAGGGCAGCTTAATAATTTTGTTGTTTTATTTGCTCTCCTCCCATATTTCTTTGAACCATGAGGTGCTAAGACCTCTCTTGGAATTTGTTTCATGTGTTCATTTCGGCTAAAACCTGTCTACCACCCCCAAACTTTCATTTTCAGTCCATTTTAGTGTTATTATATGGACTTTGATATAAGCTGAGTTCGCAAGGCTGAACAAAACGTTGCTAGACTCAGACTTCAAACTAACAACTCAAATCACTGACTGAATACTTAACAGTAATAAGTGTGATAGGATAAGGTCATCCCTCAAGGTCCTAAAAAAACTTTTTGATATAACTCAAGAGAAATAATCTTGCATATGTGATAGGTCAGATAAGGCCATAAAATCAAGATGATTCTTTACATGATTACTCTCAAGTATTTAATATACGAAGATAACATTTTGTATGTATCATCTTTATGATTTACCATATTCGACATAATAAGCGCCCACGGCGATATTTGCTAATATATTGACTAGTGTACAATCCCAATTAGCACCCCTTCGGACTGATCAATGTACACAAGACTTATTTATTCGCGTATAATACGCACTCATGTGTTATATGCACCCTTAATTATAGGCAATTAAATTCTGGAAAAATATATATGTCATATATAAACACTTCAGGCTGTCAGCATAACAACAAAATTTATCTTTCAACTCTGTTGTTTTTCACCAGAATAATATTCTAATAAGAGTCCCCTTTTCCTAATTTTGAGAGCGCCATGGGCGCTTTTTACGTCGAATACGGTATTAAAGGCCATTAAAAAATTAGTATGCTTTGAAAGTTGAGGATATGACCTATGGCTTTTTCTTATGCTATTATGTCTTAACACTTGTTAAAGGGAAAAGTTGGTCACATTCAATGTTATAATTAGGCCTGTCACAATAAATAGGTTGTAGTTTGATGAGAATCCCTAACTATTGAAGAAATGTGCTAACCAGTTTTCATTATCCTTGTTTGATATCAATGATCAATTGAAGTTACATTTCTGAAACTAGCCATATTTATATTGTCACAATCTGATGTATTCTCAATAAAATAGTTACCGTATTTTCTTGAGTATAGTGCGCATCCATGTATAATGCGCACCCCCCTCTAGCGGATTCAATATTTTGGAAAAAAAGAAATTTGAATATTATGCGCAGAAAAAAATTACACCGTACCCCTTCAGCGAAGTCCGGCAAACGAACGGGTGATCAGAAACTTTGTCAGTACAAATTCGAAATTTGAGATAAAAAATCACCAGACATGTTGATTTACCTTTTAAATTGTATTTTTTGTTCAGCTAGGCATTGTTTTATATCCAGGGATTAAGATTACCTTGTGTATTTTCTCGTAAACTAAGCCGGACACAGCAATCAGCTGTACACACGTTTTCTTGGAATCTACCGGTGATTCGGTCAAGACACACCCAATGATATAACTTTACAGTATTTTAATGCAAGGATCAAGGCTCCCGTGCACGTGATCGCGAGAATTATGTGTTGACATAGAATCGTCCAACAAAAACAAATATGACTTTTAACGATTCAAAGTATGGCATTTATGATATATGTATCCATTCTCTGTCAACTAAAGTTCGTTTCAAGGCGTCAATAGCGGTAATCTGACCGTGGTAGCTGTTAATAACGGTGAGTTGTGCGATGTTGCGATCGCTTCACACACGATTTCGCCGAAATTAATTAAAACAATATTAAAAGGAATTTTGAATAAAATTAATGAAATAAGTTACAAACATAAGTCCAGATATACAAAGAACACTTTTTATAGCCAGACAGTGTAAATCCATGAATAATTTGCGAACTTCAGTATGGATTTGTTGACATGGTATTTCCGGTGTTACGTGCTCATGGTCAAAACTCGTTAATTCGTGTATAATGCGCACCCCCTTCTACACAGCTGTGTTTTTTGGAAAAAAAGTGCGCACTGTACTCAAGAAAATATGGTATTGATAAAATCTTCAGTTTTCAACAGAATATCATTATTGGAAAATCACGTAATCTGCTGGTGATATAATACCCCTGATAATCTCATTGTTATCAAACATGCCCTATATTGAATATAAAACAACGAAAATGATCACTAAATTTATTTCATTATAGACCGTCCTAGTCCCAAAAGTCAAATACTATGCAAAATAAAAATATAATCCCCAACTACATACTTTAAACATGCATGAATGTGTGGCCAGAAATTGTTCTCAGTAAAATTAAGTCTAATTTGCATACAGTTGACTATCAAATGAGTTGGCAGCATTCATTGCTCTGTGGAGCAGTTGGTTAGCCTAGTGGTTATAGCGTTTGCTTGTCACGCTGAAAGCCTGGGTTTGATTCCCCACATGGGGACAATATGTGAAGCCCATTTCTGGTGTCCCCGCTGCGATATTACTAAAGGAGGTGTAAACCATAATCATTCACTCACTCATTGCGCAGTAGATGTTTTGAATAATTTGATATGATGAAAACAGTCAATGGGATATGAAAGTTGAGAAATGTATTTTGTGAAATCTCTACTTATTATTACGTATTTATTGCATGTCTAATTTCTTTACATATATTGTACATCTTGACAGGTTAATTATTTTTTCATTGTTGAACTCAGGCTGTGATATTCCTGTACAAAATGACCACAGTGAAGGTCTTCCAATGAGGAACGGGGGCAAGGGTGGCCAAGTCGATTAAGGCGCCGCGATTCGCAGTGCAGAGTTGCGCCCCTTTGGCATGCAAGAAACCTATGATTGTGTGTTCGAATCCCAGTTCGCCCCGGTTATGTTTCTAGTTTTGTCAGCACCATACCCGTGCTCGTGGGTTTAACCGAAGTGGTAAACGTCTGAGACCTGCATCACTTCACGCTTTCCTCCCACATTAAGCTGACACGCCGCGATATAACTGTTATACTGTTAAAAGCGACATTAAACCCAACTCACTCACTCCCTCACTCCCATGAGGAACACTTTTTATACATGTTGTATTTATCTTTTTAACTTTATTCTTATTTTGATTTTTATCAGATCTATGAATCAGTGTTAGTAATAACTATCCTACATTTGAAATTGTGGTGATTGTGATAAATATGTTGAGTTTTCCGTAGTTTAAGACAAGAAGAGTAACTATATTAGAACATAGTGCCAAAACGAATTGACCATATGAAATGGTGTATTGAGAAAGGTTTCTGATCGATTACTTTTTTAGGACATTGACAGATTGTCATTCAGAATGTCCCAATGACATTTTCCTTTTTGGTAATTATTTGGAATATTGCTGAGTGCAGCTTTAAACAACAAACAAACAAACAAATTTATAAGAATGGCCTATAAAATTTGATAAAATCATGAAAATGTCCCAATGGCATTTGTCTGTTGCAAAATCACTGTTGAGTTACACAAGATCACGTTGCCAAGGTTTATCTGTACTCTAACATCTGTAGGTCGTGCCTGGAGACCACACTCTTCGTGATTAAACACAGCACAAGCATTATGCCATTGGAAACAGGAAATATAAGGATATAAATGATAGTGTGATTGAAAGTGTCATGACACAATCAAATCTTCCTTATTTCCAGTTCAGATGATGTGTGATAAGCTCATACTATGAATTTCCGTGTATCATGATTAAAAATGTCAGGCATGGACTGTCTCTGTGGTGTAGTAGGTAGAGTGTTTGCCCAGCAAGTGGAAGGTCGGTGGTACCAATAGACATTGCCTGGTGCTCGGCATTAAGAGCATAAAACAAGGACTGATCAGCTTGTAGCATAATGTGTCTGAGTGGTGTATCCATGTAAAAACTGTGGCATCGTATCTCAGCGGGCTAGTACTATAAAACTGGCATAAGTTCAAACAGCTGCACATACACCTGCATGCATGTCGCTATATAAGTGAAATAACCTTGAACACAACGTTAAATCCCATTTCACCTTGTCTCATACATTTCTATCTTTAACTTCATGGACCAGCTGCACAGAAGCCTAGTGCATCAAGGTGGTGGCTGAAGATGCAGACAGGTTAATGCACAGTTGTGCTCATACATGTATAAGCTCCTACATTATTGATGCCACTGAGTTTTCACACACTTGCCACACCCATGTCATCACTCGGGATCTTGTGTCATCCAGAAGTCAACATGACCCGTTGTGTGACCTGACCCACTTACCCTCATGGCTTTCTGCAATCGTGAACATGTACATTGTGCTATACACATTACACAGCTTAATGGTTAAAGTCATCCATCAATACCTCAATCTCACTTTCTTAGAAATGCTGTCAGATGAAATGTGGTTAAATCACATGTTCTTGATATTGATTTGGATAACATGAATTAATGCTGATGTATCTTTTCTTAGAAGCTAAGAACATCCTAATGCTCTTTGAGCTTTAAAGGCAAGTAAATAATTTATCATGTTGATAATGCAGCACATTAACAAGGGTCGTCTGTCTCACATGCTGGGATGGGTTGATCGGTAGTTGGTGGTACTAGTTGATACATTGTTCACAGTGCTGACAGGGTATCATCCTTTACAACTTATTTAATGCCAGTCCTATAAACAAGTCTACATCCATATTCATGTTCATGTCAGTTTAGAATAGGTTTCTTGGGTAAAATGTGTCTTATTCGTATCAGTGTTATGATGATGAGCAAGAATTTGACAGCCGCCACACTTTGAAAGCGGGCAGTGTTTGGACATGTCAGAGATGTCCTTGCAAGGGTCAAGGTCATCCCCAATAACATTGTCTGAGGAACGGTTCGCTTAAATGCGATACTTCATGAAGCATTTACTGTAGGTCAATGAGCCTTTGTCTTGTCATTCTTGAGGCCATGCTGAATATGAAATGTTGTGACCCTCATTTAAGTTCAAGGTCACAGTCATTCATAAAGTATGTTTCCCATTTTCACAAACATGTGTTTTCCTGTGGATATTATGCATGTCTTAAGCATGTCATGTTTATGTGATTGAATAGTTATGTGTAGCAATTGATGACATTCTTGTAACAGTACCTCACAGTGACCTACTTCCAATGAATATATGCCATATTTTAGCTGTAGTATTGATTAACACTGAGGTACATCATATTACCAGGAATGCAAGTATTTCAGCCCTGCAATTATTTAGCTCACAGCTTAACAACAAGTTTTGGGGACTGGGTTTTGTTAGAATATTTTTCCTCTGGAGCCTATGGGCTTGAATTAAGAAATCAAATATCTGCAAGAACTATTACCCAGTTAGACATAAATAAACATATGATTGGCTCAAATTTATTAAAGCGGTAACAGTAAATATTTAGAGAATGACCAACAAGCTTCAAGGAATTACAGATTGTCTGTCCTGAGTGAATGAATGGTGTTAGCCAAGCCTTTAGGACAGATAATCCATTAATTCCGAGTTTCAAATAGGTTATTCTGTATATTACTCATTGACACTTTAAGAGAGAAAATTAAGAAAAAAACTAATGAAATGTGAACCCTACATGAAAATTCCCTGAAGGCACCGTTTGCTCAGATGATGTGATGTAATCGATTTGTCACATATAAACATCATACCATGTTTGTCTCAACATTGTGATGTCATATGGCTTCAATTGACCAAGACCCGTGAAAATTTGGGGAATAGGTCTTCAGCAACCCATGCTTGCCGTAAAAAGCGACTGTGCTCATCGTAGGAGGCGACTAACGGGATGGGGTAGTCAGGCTCGCTGACTTAGTTGATGCAAGTCATCATATCCCAATTGCTAGGATTGATGCTCATGATGTCAATCACTGGATTGTCTGGTCCAGACTCAATTATTTACAGACCTCCGTCTTATAGCTGGAATATTGCTGAGTGCAGCGTTAAACAACAAAAGTAACAGAAACAAAATCAGTTAACCAATCAGAATTGCGATTTGCAGATGTTCACATGTGCAGATGTCGGAAAGTTATTGCACAGACACCTCCTACCCTTATGCATAATATGTTGATAAAAGTCCTTGGTATTCTCTTTATGCCCAAAGTTTTGTGTTTCTAACGGAACATTAGAAATATGATATGAGTAGTATTTAATGTATGGGGAAAGAAAATCGATTTGATGTACCTGGTTACATAAAACTGTTTTTATTCTCTATGGTGTTACATTTCAGGTTGCAGAAAGAGCTTTATACTACTGGAACAACGAGTACATCATGAGTCTGATCGAGGAGAACTCAAATGCGGTGTTGCCAATCATGTTCCCAGCTCTCTATAAGATTTCTAAAGAGCACTGGAACCAGACCATTGTGGCTCTTGTCTACAATGTCCTGAAGACCTTCATGGAGATGAACAGCAAACTGTTCGATGAGCTCACAGCTAACTACAAAGCTGAGAGACAAAAGTAAGTATTTCTACATGTAATATCTGTCCATCATCGGTCATGAATCATAAACATATTCTCCTCAGAAACCAGTGAACCAGTGAAACTGCAATTATGCTTCCTTTTTAACACCAGTGATGACACTCCAATTTGGTCAAGAGGTTTTCAATATGGTCGCCATGGCAGCCATATTGATAAACCTGTGTAAGGCCATTCCTTAGTAAGTTTTGTACAAAATGCCATGAAATTTTGTATATGTAGTTAGTAGTGGGGCTCAACATATATGTTCTGGGTTTGTTTTTGGTTGATATTTTAAATTTTTACCTTTGCACTTCGACCATACTGAAAGCTGATACTTCAAAGGCCATTAATCGGCCATTTTCTTTCAAAATGTAATGAAATTATGTATATATCTAGTTGGTTGGTCTTAAAACACCTGTTCAATTTTTCTTATTTTAAACTTCCCTGTCATGATTCTGGGTCAGAATAGGTCCTCATGCTCATGCATTCAGTCACTGGTTTGCCAGGCCCAGACTTGTTTATTTATAGACCGCTTTGATATGGCTCGAAAAAATATTCTGCAGTGCTTGATTGCCATGGAAAAGAAATGTTGTTATATCTTTCAGTATGCTTTAATGACATGACCTATCCTACCTTGATATTCAAGGACCTGATACCCCTTCTGATACTTGGAGGATGTTTTGCATGTTCCATTATTAGAATATAATTGTGAATTGTGTTCCAGGGAGAAGAAGAGGGAGAAGGATCGTGAGGAACTGTGGCGTCGACTTGACAAGTTGGAGGTGAACAACCGTAACAAGATGATCAAGAACTCCTAACATCCATGCTGTGACCTCGCACCTCGACTCCAAACCCTCAATGCCCGCCTGTGCTCGCTTGCTTGATCGCTCGCTCATCTGCTCCCTGCTGCCATGTCTGGCTTGATGACAGTTGTTGATATGTAGTTAAACTGTGTGCCAAAGCAATGTGCTGGAGTTTTGGCAGACAGTCATGGAGCACCATCTCCTTCAGGAGCCAGTCTAGATTCAATGTTAGAAATGTTGCATTAGGTGCTAGCACCCAATCAACATTCAACATTTCCGAAATCAATACTTTAATTTATGGCTACAGCCTGCAATAACCTTTATTTGTGTTTCTATCACACATTCAGAACCTTTGTTGTGGAGGTCTTGGAACACTCTGTCAAATTGCTAGTGATACTAGTGAACTCACAAGGTATAATGGGGATTTACAGAGGGACTGTCCCAGGCTTATTTTTGCTGTAATTCCCAATTCTCGGGTGAAGATTGCAACATTGATAATATCCAAGGGACATACTGTAAATGTAGGTTGTCTTATATTTTAGCCATAGTTCATTTTCAAGAATGTGAAATGTTTGAGATGCAGCCACACACAGTTGGATCTCCGAAAGCCAACCTACTCTTCCCAAGTCTTCACACAAATCATCTTTGACATCACGAACAATGGATGATGTCATTGCCAGTCTTCTGCCACAATGCACTGATAGGATATGTCACTTTGCTAGACCGCCTCACTAACAAAAAGCGTAGATTAGCCAATTGGTATGAAAGGAAGTGATACCAAAAATAATTCCTCAATGGGTTACGCTGGCTATTGATTGGTTGGAAGTTGTCTCCACAAGTTGATGAGAATATCTATGTATATGGTCACAGAAACTTTGTTAATGAGATTCACAGGAAGATTGTTGATATTTATGAGTATTGTAAACTACACTGATCACTAACTTGAGAAGTCTGTTCGCTTCAGACTGTTATGACCTGTAGTCATACCCAAGGATCAATTGTAACGTCATTATTTATTTCAAATTTTTAGTCAAGTGTTTGTAGTGAGTGTCTCACTACAGTAGATGGCTTGCTTGCATGTGGAACACCGTCATCAGAAAGTCATACAGTGTCATATGCATTATACTTTGTCATCCTACATAAGTGGTGCTGTTTAAGTCAACACTGTATATACTTATATATACAATAGCTGGAGCATAATATATGGCTTTGGAAAGGTTCAGGGAATTATTGTATGGAATTGGTCTTGTATGTCATATGTCAAAGATTGAGTAGACACTAGTCTTGTCGAAACGTTGATTTAAATTTCAAAATTGTTTTCTTGCTTTTGATATTTGATGGATGTAAGTAAGTTGCTTTAAGGAAAGGTTGAATCATATAAACAATTATTCATTTTGGTTTTCATGCTATTTTCCTAATCAATGATATGACACCACCCATCAAGGCTATATGTACACCTTATCTGAAACAAAATCTTTTATCAATTTCAAAACAGTTATCTCATGCTCCATGGAGACAGCTTGGCAGTGTGTTTAGAAAATTGACTTAAAATGGAGATTTGTCACATCGACAACAGCCAGTGCGTGTTTCAATAGAGCAGATGGCAGCTGAATTCAGACTTATTTTACTCAACTGATATTCATTTAAACTGTACTGAGTAATACTGCTGTAAAAATATGTTTATAGTAGCTAGGGAAATAGTACCAACTTTCCATTTAGCCTTATTGTATTCTAGTTCAGTGTAAAAACTAATGTTGTATAAGTAAGTACACGAAATTTTTCTGACATTTATCATGAAGAAGTACACAAGAAAGCATTCACTGGCCAGTAAAAGAGTGAAATATAATTTTATTGTTAAACATTTGAAGATTTGGCTTTTGTTTGTTGGTTTGTTCGATGTGAAAAGGATATATTTTGTTTGATGGTTGACAGATAAGGATTTATTTATTGCATAAGAGGAAGCTATGGATATATTGGTTTGTTGACAAGGTTTCAGGTGTCCATCTACTGCCACTGTAGTGTGGTAGATGAGGATTACAAACTAACAGAAGTCTCATGTGCTAGTTATTGTGGGCACTGTATGTAACTGACATTGCAAGCAAACAAGTCACTATGTCCGTCCGCATCTTAGTTGTCCATCTCATTTCTACTGTCGAGCGTTGTGTTTTCATTTGTTCAGTTTCATCGTGCCATTATGACTGTTTGACCTACCATGTCTTGTGTCTGAAGCAAAAATCTGGAACTGCTTCATTTTGGCATATCTGACAAGAAGAATACCGGTATATCGCTAGGATTGTACATCAATTTCTTGCAGTACTGGAACAAATTTGTTTTAATAGATTGAATAATGAAAAGTAGCCTGATGATTTTAGGAACTGAAATGTTAGTGTGGCTCTGTAAGCTAAGGATTTGCTTTCATTTTGAGTGTTTCTTTTAATAATGAATAATTATGAGCAAAAGCGCATGTGAAACAATTGATATATAAAAATGTTCCTTGTGTTATCATTTTGTTGTTAAGTTGCAAATGTTTGCATTCTCATTGATATTGTGATCTTCATAGCCCTTCATAGCCCTTCATCATGTGTTAGACTTTTCATAAGTTAAACATGGTGGATCTTTCAATATCTTCTGACGTGAGTCGTGAGCTGTGAACAGTTGCAAGGAAGTCGGTATGGGACTGAGGAAAATCACACCGAGATTCCCAGAAAGTAGCAGTATCATGGCAATGTTATGTTGGACAACGTAATTATGTTGTGGCCACTGCCTAGTGACAACACTACTTGAGAGTGAGGATGTTTGTTAGAGGCATAGAACCTTACTCTAGTCACTAGCTTCACATTACAGAGTTCTGAGTGTCACAGAGGGACGCTTATCTTGGACGGAACCTGCGTGTTCTCCTGAGATTTGTTCTTAATCGAGATTTGTTATGACTTGTGATACTGTAGTGTATTCAGTTGGTGTTCCTATGCTTGTCCTGTATATACATTTCTTCACCCACTCTTCATGTAATGTATGACTTAATAGTGTATTTGTGTCACAAACCTACAGGAATATAGATTCAAATTACTTAGATTTGTGCACATGGAGATAATATTTTGATCTTTCAGAATGTTTTCATAGAAGTTGAACTCTTTCAGACATTGTTAATTTGATTTCTAGCTAGGATATTTTTGTTATGACATCTGTAAGTATCAGAACTGATGATAGTTACTTGATATATGGACTAAACTCCCATGTGATCTAACAGAAATTTCTACATCTAACTGCAACTATGCCATTGTCAGTGTGTGAGTGGGAACGAAGGGGAGGCTTATACTTTGCCAGTCAGATGACACGTTCTGCAATTGCAATGTAACTTGAAACATCTAACAATCAAAGTATTTTTGTGCCATGATAGCTATTCAAGGATGTTTGACTGCCTCTTCATCTCTAACAATGATTTCAAATGGTAAGCTTTGAGTGTTGCATTGCTGCAGTGATTGGACTGGTCAGTGAGTCTGTAATTCCCATGTATGCTTCCGACATAGATCTGTAGCAGTCTGTTGTGTGTTACGTGAATATTATCCTCTGCTGGTGTGCTAATGCCAGACCAGTGCTTCATAGGGCAAACATTTCTCAAAGTGACAAAGGGAGGCGACTCAGGTTTCACCACAAAGGGAGATCACTCTGGTTTTGGTACCTTCCCAAGAATTGTATGTCTTATTGATCACAGTTCTGGCCTACACTGACAGTGAGAAGTTTGTGTCGAGTGTTCTTCACAGGGTTGTGTGACCTGATATTGAGGCTCTTGCTGCCATCATTGTTGTGGCAGGCTGGAGGACGTGGCCCTCATCTTATTAGCTAGACAACTGCAGAGGTATACTATTTAAGACTGAACAAATTGCTGATGAGAATTATGTGTGCATTAATTATTTATAGTGTTTATGAAATGTAAGGTTCATTGGAATACAGTGAATCTGTGTATATCAGTTTGTAAAATTTGTCATTTTCCTGTTGTGTGTTATAACATATCCATAATTGCCAACTACTGATGCTTGTTTCCAGTTTGTCTTGGAGAAAACTCATCAGTGAATTTGGTGTAATTATTACTGAAGGTTACATCCTTTTGAATGCCGTGGCGCGAGAGTCGACTAATTCCTCTTCCCCTGTTAACTGCCACACTACCTGCTTGTGTACCAGTTACCAATAGAGCCTGGCGTGTCAACCAAAACTGTTATGTTAACAGATTCCTATTTTAGCAGTTGGTATTGCCACAAATAATTTTGTGTACATACAAGATTAAACATTGTGTGTTTGATTTGTAGCCTAACGCAGCCAGAACTTTCTGATTCAGTAGTGTCTGACCACACACAGCAGTTCCGTAATCAGCTCTATGTTGTGTCCTCAATTTTGCTTTTGTACATATGCTTACTTGATTGTATATTATGTTGCTATATTAACTATACTTGGCTTGTAGGCAATCTGTAGCCAAGTTTGTGCATAGTTGTTACCCTCCAATTTGTCTTTGTAAACTATGTCTGAAAATATTTTGTAAAATTAAAATATTCTCATCAAAATTCATTTTGTTATATTTCATCCTGTTGACCAACTTTTGCACGTCAGCAGAAAGATTGAATGAAGAGATCAGATTAATGATACATGCAGGTGACAAAAGAAATTCCTAGCACATGGATATGTTGTTGGGGCAACTACTGGGGACATGTCTCAAACAATTACATGTCTTTATAGAGGGGTGCTTTGATTTTCATTGATTTGATTTGCTTGCTTCTTAACTGAGCACGGATAATGCTGACCTGGCATGCTACTGACATGTCTCTAGAAGTGGATAGAAGAAAATCCAGGATTTCAGAAATAAAGGAAATTCATCATGAACTTTTAAGTGTCCAGATTTGTTTTTGTACATGATTGGAAGTTAATGAAGATCGTACCCACCAATTCACTGGTCTTGCTAGTCACCAAGAATAGATCTGAACAGAATGAGATTGACCGTGTCAGGTCAGTACTGAGTAGGACCCAGGTACCCACAAGACTACCCAGATCCTTGGTTAGTCATGTGATATATTGTTAAATGACAATTATCAAGAACTCCATGGTTCCACTACAAGTCACTAATGTTCACATTTCTTTCTGACTATGCACACATTCCCTTGGACTTGTTTGAATAAAGATAAAACTTCAGTGTATGCATGACCGGATCGTTAATTAAGACCTGTACATCTAAATACATTTTTCCAGGAGTATGGTCAAACTATTCCCAATCGGACATTTTGTACCTACATTGTATCACTTAATTGAGACCTGCAGGGGATAGTGTCTGGTAATAGGGGTGTGGGCACCCGGGTAGTAAGTTTGGACTTATCCCAGCCCCAAATTGTACACGTCTAAGACATTTGTTTGTGGCCTTGTGATGCAATGATTGTACATGCACGTGAAGTGGGGGTCCCTTATGCATTGCATCAGTAAAAATTGTAGGGGACTGAACTCCCATTGAAGTCATTTGGTGAAAGTTTTGAGCTACTTGTTCCTGAAGGTTCAAGTAGGATCTGGAATTGTCTCTTGGTGCCTTGAAATAAATAATTTGCATCATCTGATAGGGCAAAGTTGTATCAACAAAACAGTCTCGGCTGGTTCCGCGATTCTATTTTTGTAATTTGGGGCATACACATTGTGACTGAGAATTGTTTTAATAATGCTTTGCAAGGTATTGTTGAGTGAGTGAGTATGGTTTTACGCCGCTTTTAGCAATGTTCCAGCAATATCACGGCGGGGGACACCAGAAATGGGCTTCACATATTGTACCCATGTCTGGAATCGAACCTGGGTCTTCGGTGTGACGAGCGAACGCTTTAACCACTAGGCTACCCAACCGCCCCATGGTATTGTTAAAAGGGGGGCTAGATGTTTATGAGCTGACTTCAGATGAATGTAGGATTTGAACCCACAACCCAATGGATTCTTACACATAGAAGACATCCAACTCGACAGCAAACTGTCTTACCTTGGTCCACTGAACCACCCATGCCTCTATTTATATAAACAGACGATACAAAACAAACATTATCAATAGTTTGACATATTTATTTCAGCATTTGATATTTTTTAATATTTTCCATAACTAAATCAATAGCTAGTATCTGCTGTACATAGATTAGCAATAACAAGTGTCCGTCGGGAACACAACAAAGCTGAACAAGCCACAAGACATAAAATCAGTCACTGTTGAAACTGTCTGTAACAGTTCAAGAGGTTTACACAAATTCCCTTAATTCAACACTGATGCAGACCAGAAATGTCACACAAATATACAACCTTTTGTCAAAATCGTGAAATATCTAAAATGTCGTCACTTAACTCAAAACATTCCTGGTTAAAATCTTAAACATGCATTGAATGGCGAGATCCCATACTTGTGAAGAGTCTGTGGAGACAAAAAGAGGTCTCAGACAGTGCTATATATGTGGAGAAAACTGAAAAAAGATTCCAAAGAAATTATGCAGGAGTTGAAAATAAATTCAGACGAAGGTCCAAATATCATGACACTGTCATTACAGCTTAATATTGAAAGCAAGAAGGGTAAAACTCCTGCCAAGCTGACACTTGGGAGACGGAGAACGATACATTTCCAAAACAGATCCCACAATACTGTAATGGCACTTCTGTTCCAGAATACTTGCTTTGAATTTGGTATCACAATTCTAAACTTCTCTTAAAGTCACTAAAACCCATCACAGTAAAGCACTTTCAGTTGTGTGTAGGTGTTTTGATGAAACGATTCTACTCGAACTGAAGTACTGACAAATGATTAAGCCATAAATATCAAAGCTCCCACAAAAAAAGCAACACCAACGTCTTGTGACCAGACACTTCAACTCTTCATTTACTTCCAGTTCCAAACATTTCCCCAAGGTTCTGTATTTATAAAAAATACTTCTTTCTCTTGTTATGATTGAAGTAAAACATATGGTAAAATATTTCCACATGTAATCAAAACCACATTTTCATCACCCATCAATGATGAAAATAAAGCTGAATTTGCATTCAAGACAGATCAAGTATTTCTTTTCTTGAGATCCATAATAATATGTTCTACAGTCTAAACAAGACATGAAATATTTAAAGCTGCGGCTTAAGCAGTACCCCATACAGTATATTAAAGAGTGAGTGAGTTGGGTTTACCGCCACTTTAAGCAATATTCCAGTTATATCATGACGTGTCAGCTTAATGTGGGAGGAAAGCCCAAAGTAATACAGGCCTCGGACGTTTTGGGTGAAATCCACATGCAGGAGTATGGTGCTGACAAACCTAGAAAAGAGTCAGGGCGAGGTATGGTAAGGAAATAATGTAGGCTTAAAATGATGGCTTTGTTTGTGAGTTAAATGAACAAATGTCACAAGGCAATACTTCTTGTGGCAACAGTACTGGTATTTACACAATGAACTAATACATGAAGTATGAAACAGTCACAGTTTCTCAGTGAGTATAAATGCCACTTAACTGTTAAAACTAGTGGGATCCTTGGAATAGATGTTTATTGCAAAGCTTGATACATGCAGGGCATACCTGATTCTTAAACATTTACAATCTTTTAATTTGATTTGTTTGAAACATAAATGGTTTCTTAGCTTCACTGGTACAATAATATGATAAAGTTGTCTACATCACCTACCATCCTTGTATGCATGTAGTTGTTTAAAGTCTATAATCATATATGGAGCAGGTGAAAGCCAGATAGCTCTGACAAACGAAAACAAGTAAATGCAGTCTGAACTAGAGCTCAATCAGATCTGTGGAACACAGTTTATCTTGTTTCCATGGAAACACAATAAAGGAAGTGAAAGGTTCTAACTGCCAAATGAACCAATACATCCTTTGGTTAAGTGGAAAATATTTGATTTAGGCTTCAGAAACAAGGCATATGCTAATAGAACAATTTAAACCTGTTTTAAAGGAAACGCAAATTTTACAAAAAAGGCAAAATTGTAATTTTTAAAAGACACCACTGGACCGCTTGCGCTTGATTGATATGTGCAAATGGAGACACCTTGAACAGTCTTCAAGATGGATTCCATAAAAAAGTCACCCCTGCTAGCAGTTAAGTTTGACTTTGTTTCCATGGCTACACCTAAGACAATAAAAAAAGTCTCCTGACAAAAGGCATCTTCTTTCAAATAAAAACATATTGTAACCTTTCCAACCCAATACTGTCAAAGAAAGTTAGATGAACCGACAAACTGTTGTCATGGGGATATTACCATTATATCTAACATATCTGACAGTTGGTTCTATACAAGTTCCGTAGCATTCAAAGACCTCTTCTCTTTTGTTACAAACTATATTTTCTAAGTTCTGATGATGTTCAGTATCCCTAACAAAAAATATGAAACATTCTCGACACAAGTGTACTCAGTGTTTCTCTGCTCTGACAGTCACAACACAACAAATGGAAGTCCAATATCTTTGGATCTTACCTACGTTTGGCAATTACAGAAATACTTATTTGCATCATTTCTGATACTTTTTTCAACACCCTTAGAAAATAATATAACTCTGCCTTATGGCCTGTGTGTGTGGTCACACTGATATGTGCAAACAACAAGGAAATGTATCATTACTGGACATGATTGATCCATAACCTTCATAGCAAGTACATCTTGGCCCTAACAAAAAGACAGCAGCATTAGAAGATTAATAGACTTTGCTTAAGATGTGAGGAACGGCTGCCAGACATGAAATACTGTATTAAACCCAATAAGCACCTTAGTTACAGTGAGAGAATAGCTTTTACACCTTATAAATGCAGTACTGCTGTGACTGGGTGAGCGAATGTTGTACCACACTGTAGGCATCAACATTACAGCCATATCATAGTAGTGCCAATAATCACGTCTGGTACATACCAACTAGTGGTTGACAGCGTAAACAGTTGTTGGCGTTGTCTGTTGTTTAACGCTGCACTCTGCAATATTCCAGCTATATGACAGCGGTCTGTAAATATTCAAGTCTGGACCAGACAATCCAGTGATAGACATTATGAGCATCGATCCACGCAAGTGGGATACAATGACATGTATCAACCAAGTCAGCGAGCCTGACCACCCACTCACGTAAGTCGCCTCTTACAACAAGCATAGCCACTTTATACAGCAAGTATGTCTGGCTGAAGAACTATACTACCCCGGCTCTTCACGGGTCGATAGCGTGAACAGCAATCATGTGTTCAGGGTATGATGACACAATTAGTCGGGTCCCACCCTGGAACCACCCAGCCTCTACCCAGTATCTGTACCTACGACTAACATGGGCTACCAGGCAACTATTTTGACCCAGACTCATCACAAAATATTAAAATGTGGAAGAGCATCTTGCTTGATATGTTTTTTTGTGAGACTAATAGATGTCCATCATGAAAGCATGACAATTACTAGGTGGCAACTACAGGCACCGTCGACTAGAAGCAAACATTGCTTCATGCTGGGCACCTTTGATCATGCTTCTGGTATAACAGTGACTGATTGAGTTTAACACCGCTTTGATAAGTATTTCAGTTATATCAAGGCATGTCAGCTTGATGTGGGAGGAAAGGCTGGCTTAGAAATTTATGGTGCCAACAAACCTATAACCATAATCAGGAGAAACCTAGGGTTCCAACCCACATCGTAGGTTCCTGGCACGGCAAAGGGACCCAACTCTGCACAGCAAACTGTGGTGCTTTAGATGACTGAACCACCCATGCCCTGCACAACATAAGATATTTCGTAGGTTGATATAAAAAATTTGTTTGGAAAACAATGCCTTTGAAGGTATCTGCATCCATAGTATACCATTAAATATCTAGAGATATGATGAGATAAGAATCTATCAGTCTGGGATG